CTCTCTCTCTCTCTCTCTCTCTCTCTCTCTCTCTCTCTCTCTCTCTCTCTCTCTCTCTGTCTCTCTATTAAAGTCTCTATTAAGCTCGTTTCGTGGTGTCCCTTGGCACGTAAGACACGCAAGACACGCGAGACACGCGCATCCGCGATCACTTCTATTTCTGTCTACGGTGGTAGATGCTCTTGTGATTGTTGAGACTGTTGAGCGTTCGGAACACCTTGTGACACAGCGCACAAACGGCGCTGTTCAGGGGTTGAAAGTGTTGCTGCTCTTTGTGCCGTTTCAGAGTGAGTTTCGTGGAAAGAGTCTTGCCGCACACGTCGCACGTGTAACAAACTCCTGGTGGCAACAAGCTGCCGTGTAACGGATGGGACAGTCGCATCGCGAGGATCGCCGACGGTGGACCTGTCATCCACGCGATCGTACAATACGACCCAGGTGGACGTTTTTCCGTTCGAATGCAACATTGTTCAAGATGCGACAGAAAGAAAAAAAACGTTAGCGACATGTTGCAGCATTTTACAAAGCGAAGAGTGAACATAGGAGAAGTTGCGCGCGTCAATAGATGAATATATGGAGGTGGCGTGTAAGATAGTTAATTATACAACGAAATACGCGTTACAAATATACAAATTAAACGATCAAAAAATATATATGTTGCGTGCGTTACACGAATACATAGAAATACGCAAGCATATACGTAAAATAGAAATGTAAATAGATGCATATATGAGAAAGTGCAAAAGGAATAAAGCGACAAGTATATAAAAGGATAAAAATAGAAGAAAGAGAGAGAGAGAGAGAGAGAGAGATAGAGAGAGATAAAAAGAGGCAGAGAGCGAAGCAAAGAGAGAGAAAGAGAAAGAGAGATAAATCAAGTACCATAATCCGTTACATATGCATCGACACCCAATTAAAAAGAAATATTTCCATTACGAACCAATATTTGTGGTGTAGGAGGCACACGGCGAAGAGCCACGTGTGTGGATGGACCCCCAGCGCAAGTCCGTGTTCGTGAAGGTAGCGGGTAGGTACACACAGAACAATGACGAACCAGAGCCAAACGTATAGCCGAGCGAGCGGGACCGGGAACAAACAAGAACAAAGATACGACTGCTATTAATATCACTGGACAAGATTAGTTACGATACGCTGCTAAGTATTCTTGCATGATTAGGGCTAGAGATGGGGTAATATGTAGATGGTAGGTCGTTGGGGCTAAACGCGGGCATTCCGCTGACGGTCGGCTCAAGGTGAGATCGGTCGTTTGGTTCGGGGAAGTGGTGAATAAAGATTGGTAGTAAGGGTCAACAGGATTGATCGAGAGCAGACCGGCAGTGTGGTATCGAAGGAGTTGCTACCGAACATCTGTCGATATTCTTATTGACAGTCTGTTCAAATCCCAACGAGCGACGTGTATGCTCGAGTATTTCCTTTGTTTTCCGCTACGTTTACAGTGGCAGAGATACTAAAATGGCTCGGAGCTCTGGTTTGTCATTGATCATGCATAACAACGCGATGTGATTGTAGATCGCTGCCTATCTAGATCAGTTTCCCCTCTTTTTTTTTTTTTTTTTTCAAATCGCGGACAATCTTCGTTGCGTTTTTCCACATGCGCGCGCATTGCTTACTTTACGCGATCGATATGTACTTTACTACTTGTTTCGCCTTTACTTACTTGCGAGTAAATTTTTATTCTCCCCACTTTATCGCACCGTGTCAATTGCAACGAGAATATCTATTTTTCGTGGAAACAAAAGTGATCGATAGCGAGGAACCAAGCTTAACGAGGACAAATATTGACATTATTATTTCTTGCTTCTTGCTCCTGTTCTACCTCTATTTTCTCTCTCCCTTTTCTTTTCTTTCTTGCCTTTTTTCTATATTCTTTTCTTTTCTGTCGTCATAGGGAAATGACCAAAAATACGCGAATCGGACAATATATTACATATAAACTTATTTTATTTAGCGTTTGTGTGTATGTGTGTGTGTGTGTGTGTACATGTGTGATTTTGTAATTCTGATAAAACGTGTTCAGATACGTTTAAAAGCAATTGTTGAAATAATTCTAAGAAGTGAAATTACGCCCAATGAGTACTCGGTATAACTCTACGTTTATTTGGGTACAAGTATGGGACACCGAGTGAAAAGAAAACAATGAGAAGAACAAAAATCCCACGCGAACACGATAAACGACGAAAACATACCTTTCTTTGAGCTATAAAAGTAAACATAATGCTTTCTACCGATATGTGACTCTCGATGGAAAAAAGGGATTAATATATGTGAGATGTGTCAACGGTACAGGCAATGTGTGCGCGTGCGTGTGTGTGTGATAACAATAACTAGTATATAAAGTAACAATAACGGTCACAATAGTGATAGTAATAGAGGCAATAATAGCAGGAGCGACAATAGCAGTAGCAACAATAATATGAAAACTTGCCAATAGAAAAATGTTAATGGCAATAACAACTACTACAACACATCGATAGTATATAGAAGAGAGAATAATGATATACATTAAAGAGATGGAAATATTTCACTAGACATTTTTCTCTATTAGAACAAAGAGTAAATAAATGCAGAGTATTTGTACGTGCCTTTCCTGAAAATACGACGGATAAGTCAAAGTATCGTGTATCAAACGTGCGCATGTACACACACGTGTGTTTCGTGTCCGTAGAAATGTATCGTTCATTTCTGCCAATTACAATACTTTAGCGTACGTCCCTCTCTCGCGTCAACTTTGAACGCGACAACTTTGAACAGATGAGTCTTTATAGATGATAACGCGATATTCACATGTAAAAACAATCGCTTTGAGAATATAAAAATACGAAAATGTTGTGTATGCATGCACAAAATGAAGCGTTGTAACTTGGCACGATGGAAACGATATGTTGAACGGCAATATTCTTGTTCTTACGTGTAGATTGGAGTAATTAAGTTTTAGTTTGAATAAAATTCGCCCGATGACTCAAGCACGATAATTTCAGCCGTAAGAATTAATTCAATTTGCTTTACCGATAAATTTCTATTTCGATAAATCGTAATAATTCAGAGCAAACGAACCAATGAGAGAGACTATATGAAGAGATTAAATGTGAATCTCTCTTGGTGATACGTCGCTATAAATTGATAAAATATAAGTGATGATGTGACACCTGTGTCATAAGGATATAACGAACGAAATCCCCGGAAAGGGGGCGATCTTAATGCTAAATCGTAAGGGGGCATTTCCGTAGCATGGAATGTGTACGAAAGAAAGGAACAAGATCAACTGCATCAGTTGCAAGGAACAGGGAGGATTTGGAGAATGAAGGAGGAATACATTACCCGACTCTAACTGCCTTGTTTAAGGGGATATAAGAGAGCGTGTTACGAGAACAAATTAAATACGTTAAATAATATTTTATTATCCCGTTTTGTACCGCACCTTTTTCACGTACCGTCACACAGGACGATAAACAGAAACTTGTCTCCTATTATCGTACTCGTCTCTCACATAAATAATATATAAAAATAATAACAAACAGTGTGACAAATCGAAGGAATTACGCCCATTGCGTAAGTAATCGCTCAAGTTCCGATACGCGAACCAGAGAGTTCGAACTTTAGCTCGTGTTTCACAGCGCTACTATTTACAAACCTTCTCGAGCAACGATCTTCTCGGGCATTTTTCGTAAAAAATATCGACGCGACCTCGTAGTATTGTTTGAATAGACGTTCGAAGCAACACTCCCCCCTATACTGTCTCTACACACTGCCCTTCCCGACTTCGCGCTTCGAGACGCGCTGTCTCTAGCTCACATCTCCTATCGATCGTCATTGGCGAGACGCAACGATATTGACAGCCGACTACTTTCTCGCGAGAGCGTACACGGAAGAATGGTGACACGAAACTATCGAAATAACACATCGAAATCGCGATTAAATTTGCTTCGTCGACGCGTCATCGACGATCGAGATTCGACTCGAGATCGTGATTCCTCCACCTTACAATTCACTAACGTTATATTAAAACCACGTTACGTTCCGCTTCCTCGAGTCTTATTCAATCTTGTCGAAAGCCCTGGATCTACGTTCGCCGTCCAGTAAGAAATTTGTATTTCGATCGCCAGCGATCGCGAGAACGAGAATCGCGCTGGATTTTGATCAGTATCGATAACGGCAACATCGGTCCATGTCGCGTAAATACCCGATATACCCACGACATCGACAAATTCACGCGAGACGGAGAGAGAGAAAGACCAAAGGGGACAGGAGGCGAGAGATCTCATCCCATTCGCGAATGTTGTTGAGCCTGATGCTGATGCTGTTGATGTTGTTGTTGTTGTTGTTGTTGTTGTTGTTGTTGTTGTATCTGCTGCTGCTGCTGTTGTTGCTGCTGTTGCTGCCGTTGATGCGAAGAGTAATTTCTTTCAACGTGTTCTCGCTGGTCTCTTTGCCGTTCGCGGATTTGCGCTACTTCCTTTCTTTGTTGCTCGTTTTTGTTGTGTTGCCGATGGTAGATGCTCTTGTGGTTGCGTAGACTGTTTAGACTGGAGTAAACCCGCTTGCAGATGTTACAGATTGGTTCCTTGCTGGGCCTGGTGTGCACGTTCTGTATGTGCCGCTTCAACCGCGTTAGGGAGGTCAGGTTTTTGTTGCACGGCTCGCACCGAAACTCATCGCTCGCGCCGCTGCCGGCCAACAGACCTGGCGGCAGAACCAGACACACAGGGGTTACTACTCTTGTGGATTTTTGGCGCTTGGAACGTCGCACAGACGTCGGACAGGTGGACGGGTAGAAATTAGACTAGGGTTGGGAAATCAGAGAGAGAGAAAGAGAGAGAGAGAGAGAGAGAGAGAGAGAGAGAGAGAAATAGATAGATAGAGAAAGATAGAGAGAGGACATGATCCCCAATGTGCTTTTCTATTTTGCCCTTTGCTTGTTCGTCTTTCTAGCCAAGACATTGTCTGCCGTAATCGCATACCACCAATCCGTATCCCTACACCAGCGTCGAGACTAGATTACGCTACCAGAGTTTTCGCAGCTGAGAAAGTATAATGCGCCCATGTGCTCTCCCTCCCCCCTCTCTCTCTCTCTCTCTCTCTTCTCTTTATCTCTCCCTCCCCCTCTCTCTCTCTCTCTCTCTCTCTCTCTCTCTCCCTTTTTCTCACTCTTGCTTCTATTTGCCTCTCAATACTTTACTTTGCACTTAATTAATCGAGTATATGTCGTATCACCGTCACCCGACCACAAGCCGTGCCCAAATTTATTTATATGTTATTTCTTAAAACCGTCTAAGGATATGGATGCTTATGGATGCTATACTGCTGTCGCGTTGCTGTTTACACCTCGTTGTGTGACAAAATGACTGTTACCGATGAGACGCAACTTGCACAAAAATGCCCCTCAACACGCACATAGGACGCAACCATTGTCAACGTATCTCTCATTTGCTTTTTTTTCCTCTTTGTTTCTCGAAGGTCATTTAAGCGACGTAACATTTTCAGCTTCTCCGTAAATTCGCTACGTTGTCAAGCGTCATCATCACGATCATTAACCTTTTATCATAATCGCAATCCCTCGAGCCAAAGTTATTGTCAATCTTTTTCGTCGGTGTCAATGTCTGCGTTATCATTGTCAATGCCACGATCATACGATTGCTTTTATTCTCGTGCCACTTGGTAGCACAGTCATTATTATTGTAATCGTTAACGTCACCGTCGCGATTATTCTCTTCCACTTTCACCCTGATTATTGTCGCTTCGTTTCATTTAACGTTCAAACATATCGTCCATGTTGCCATTCTGCGTATACTTCACTGTCCTTTATCGTTGCGACTGAAATTCATTTCGCAGCTTCAATAGTCTCGTCTATTGTGCTAGTCTGGTCGTTCACGGTATCATCATTTGTAACAATTTCTAAATTTATACGATAAACCCTTTATGATCACTGTTACAGTGAATATCGTCATCGTCCTTATCTTCATCGTCAATACTCTTCTTCGTTATAACCGTGTATGATTATCGTCATTGCTCTCGTTATTTATATGTGTCCCCTTCTGACAATTAACTCGATCAAACCGCGCATTTTTACAAATTCAAATATATCTTTTCTGCAAGATTTCTCACCAAAGTATTAAGTATGTTTACACAATCATTACTATCGTTAAGCAATGTATATAGATAAATGGTAAACAACGGTTGCTTCGTCTATGTGGAAATGACACGATGCCTACACAAAACAAAACTAACCAAAATATCAATTACGTTAATTAATGTGAAATTTCTAAGCCGATAATTTTATACAAAGTTAATATTAAAAATGTCCGCGCGGTACTATCAGAATGGAAAACATGACGAGGTCAAGATATCGAACATACGCGATATTTACGCTCATCTCTCGCATGCCAATGTTATTCTATTAACTTGAACAAAAAATGTATTATGCCCAGAAAACGTTGCATCATAAATTATATTTTACCATAAAATAAACATGGAACGGCTTGACTGACAAATAAACCTACCCAAAAGTTACACTCCGATTTCTACCTAATTTGGCATAAATATAGAAGTATAAAAAATATTTAGGATTTTCATTTTAGCCCACTTTAAGTTTTATAGGCAGTTTATATCATTTTAATGTTCTCACTCCTATCATCAACCAGTGTAACAAAAATGCATAAGAAACAAAATTGAATACAAGATATAAGTGTTTTTGATTTACTGATTATGAATATGAAGTCAAATGTGTAAAATTATTTGTATAAATAATAAAATGTTTAAACAAAATATGTAAAAAGGTGAAAAAAATTATTAATATAAATAATTTCTCGGCTTGGCCGAGATTCGAACCATTTTTGACTAATTTAGCACAGACTTAAAATATTTCGGTTGGAATCTCGACTAAAGAAATTTAGAATGGTTCGTGTCTCAGCTGTGCCGATTTTGTTAAAATTATTTAACTATATCTTATATTCAATTTTATTTCTTATGCATTTTTGTTGCACATCTTGATGATAGGAGTGACAACATTAAAAAACTATAAACTGCCCGTGAAACTTAAAGTGGACCAAAATGAAAAAATACGACCTAAGTATTTTTTGTACTTCTACATTTGTGCCAAATAAGAAAGAAATCGGAGTGTACCGTTTAGGTAGATTTACTTGTGAGAATCTTTGAGAAACACAATATCGATCGAATACGATGACAATGGTAATAATCGCGACAAAAATCTGTCTCAATCAATTCTTCTGACCACCAAATTTGCGCAGCATCTCTCGGCTCATCCTACGAGGTTTACCTTTTTCCCGTGAGCATAATTATAGGCTAATATATAGAGTGCAAGCAGTTTCAAAATTCCAGCAAACGATCGTGAGCAATGAAGTTAGTGTTTTATGACCACCAGATATATCCATATCGATGCGCATTATTTACAGCAAAATAGAGCGAAGTATCTTTTGTGTGTATGTGTGTAAGTATGCACATATGCGGATGTATGCATGTGCACGAGAGTATACGAATGTATTTGTATGCGAGTGTATACACAAATGCGATATCTGTTTCTAATGAGGTGATGCGATGAAGCGTAATGTTTCTATATTTCATGATTAATGACACTTTCTTTCGTAGCCTTGATTGAAGGAGCTACCAACAGAGGTTCTTTCTTCTCGCGCGATATTTAGGCCGTGAGATAGCGCTCGCTCGTTAGAAACAACTTTTCACTTTTTTTTAAGTTTATATGCTTTATTCTTCGAAAATTATCTTCGACTTGTACGTCGCGTTATGTACCGCGTTGTATAACAAGTAGACGTACCCGAGTTTTCTTAACTATAATTACAATCTCATGAGCAATGCGGTCGTCTATATCGAAACGCGAACGCAGCTATATATTTGTATAATGTAAATCTGCGCGAAATACAACGTTCCATAATTGTTTCGTACATATCGAGTATATAACGAGTCGTACATAACGTTGAAATGTCACAGGGTACAACGTGAACTAGTGTTCGATTAATAACTAATAAGGTCTATTAAACGGCAACCTGCAGCTTTAACGATCCGCGATTTTATTTCTGTGATATCGAGCAACTTTTCGAGTTACACACACACCAGTGAAATAATCCAAGCTCCCTCCTCATCTCATTCTCCCCCCCCCCCCC